TACCGAAAAACAAAACAAATTTATAAAGTTTAAAAATTTATATAATTGTAACTTTATTTTATAACATTTGCATATTAGTGAAGACACTGAAGACAGATAAGATTTAATAATAATTTAAATAAAACATGTGTTAAAMCTGRAGGGTAGCAATAATATAGTAGTATAGCATAGCGCATAATACCTACATTAAATAAAGCTTTTTCCGAGAAAAAGAAAGGTATGTATTATTAATCTTAATTATAAAATACCCACGAGTGTAACATACACTTGTACAGCTAGGGTGACTGGTGAATCAAATAATTTATGATTTCTTTTTAAAATGTTTATTCGTTTAAGTAAAAATTGAAATGAGTAGTTTATAATTCGTCATTAAACTTTATTTACTATACATACAATTTAAGATGCATGTAATATTTAGTCTATAGTATACTTTTACACTCGGTAAATGTTTGATTTGAATATGATAACATTTTTTATTTATTTTTTTATTTTATATGAAATCTACAATCTATACCACTTGGCACAATAAGCAAATGTGAAACAGATTTTATATACAAATTATTKAAATAAAAATACATCGTATTCTTAATAACATTTATATATAGTGTGACTTTTTTGAGGAAAGCAGCCACCCATTAGTAACACTTTCATTTGCAAAAATATGATAACATGAAGAAAAAAAACGTAAACTGCCTTAAAATGTACAGTTAAAAAAGTGTACTGGGTTTTTTTTTTTTAGAATAGCAACTTTACTTTGTGCCAACGCAAGAGTTATTAAATGACAGTTATTAAAAGTTATTAAAATAACAGTTATTAAAACGACAGTTATTAAATGGCATAACATTTTAAATATTCGAAAATKTATTGTTTAATTAGTACATATTCTATTGTTTCCAAAAATCAGAATTTGAATAAATTAACTTTATTTAAGGAAAAAGTAGGGGTTAACATGTTTGGTGAATTACCATGTATATATGAAGGACTTTTATTGTGATAATTAAAGATTAATAAATCAAACGAAAACTATTCCAATGAGTAAAACTGATTTTAAAACAAATATTTAAAATGTGTGAACTTATTATTCGCCGCTCATACGATAAACAWGTACATATATATGGAAGGGAAGGAGAATCGTATAATAGATTAGGTACCAGTGAGAGGCAATGCTGAAACGAGATCAATATTACTGGGCCAGACTGCTGTGCATGACCCACAAAGGCTGTATATCGCTGCAGCGAGTTAATTAATACATAGCTTTTCCTA